TGGGAGTATACCAAAAGAGATTGGCAATATCACAACCTTGGAGCTATTGTAAGTTAAATTTATTTAACAATGATTTTCTAGCTAGCTCATTTCTGATCTTATTATCAATATTGTAATTCTGCATATCTGCATCAGATTTTCTTATTCGCTCATTTAGAAGTGGTATTCTATTTTACAGGCTCCTGAATGGGAACCAATTGTCAGGTTCTTTGCCTGATGAGCTTGGCTATCTGCCGAATTTAGAAATTCTTCAAATTGATGAGAATAACATATCCGGACCAATACCTACATCATTTGCAAACTTAAACAACACACAGCATTTGTAAGGGCATTTCTGAAATAGCCACGACTAGTTCCCTAGTTATTTTCACTTTGCCTTCCTTCTTATATTTTCAATCTATTCCTTATCTTCTTTCTCCTTTTGAGCAGTCATATGAATAATAATTCAATTAGCGGACAAATCCCCCCGGAGCTCTCCAAATTACCAAACCTTTTACACTTGTAAGTTTATCATAGGTTAATTTCTCCTATTTTAGTTATGTGATATATACCTCTAGCATTAACTTATCTATGATTGTGTGCAACTCAACTTCCTTCTAAGGCTCCATTCATTTTTTTCTTATGTAGCCTTCTTGACAATAACAATTTATCAGGGTATCTTCCAGAAGAGCTTGCCCAAATGCCAAAATTAACCATCCTGTATGTTTTCTTACTTTCCGGGAAGTATTTTGATATATAGATTTATGCTTCTAAGTCATTTTTTCCAATTGTTGTGGGATAGCTAAATGGAAATGGAAATGTAAAAGTAAAATGAGAGTGAGAGCTATATATTGTACCTTGTTAGTTATTCAACACAAGGAGGAAAATAATAGGATAGAGGTGAGGTATTTATATATAAAATACAAACATGAAGAACATTTTTTTTCTCATTAATAAAGTCCATAGTTACATTTGTTCTGTATATTTTTCTTCAATTGATCATTCTTTTCCTGAGTATATCTTTATAATCTTACATGAAAATGCTTTTAGATTTCAAATTTCAATTGATAATCTTCTTTGATTTCCTTAACAGTTTCCATTTCTACCTTTTGCAGTCAACTTGACAATAACAACTTTGATGGGGCTATTATTCCAGTATCATTTGGAAACATACCTACATTATTGAAGTTGTAAGTGCTTACTGGAACCCTATCCTGGCTTTATATAGATTTAGAAGGCAGAGATGAGGAGACAGGTGCTATCATCTTATTAATGTATTTCTACATGATACATATAAGACTACATATTTGAAATTTCTATAAAGCAATATTTACATGGTTTCACCATTACAAGCAAATAGCAGTTAAAAATCATCAGTAACAGAACACAAAACAATGAAATTTCTCTAAAACTATATTTACATTAAAGAGAAACTAATAAAACTTAGAAGGATAATTTTTCAAAGTGAAATTAGGTTTTGCTTACGCAATTAGGATGAAATGAAAATATTATAAACATGAAATACATTAAATATTGTACTACTAAATTAATGAACGTCATATAGCTGTCCCTAATAATTTTAACATGGATTGAAAATGACTATTGGAGAGCATATGTGGACTTGAAGGTGTGTGGAATTTTGTGATGTTGAACATTTTTGTTGGTTAAATTATCAGGAGTCTCAGGAACTGCAACTTGCAAGGATCAATCCCTGATCTAAGCGGAATACCCAACCTTGGTTATCTGTAAGTTCATGTGTTTGTTCCTCATGCTGGAATGACTTTCCTATTAGAGAATTAAATGTAACTCTTATTTCTATTTCTCTTATATAAATTTCAGGGAACTGAGCTCAAACCAGCTAAGTGGACCCATACCTACAAATAAGCTCTCCAAGAATATCACAACCATGTAAGATTCTCTCACTAGCAATGTACACATTTTTACTAATTTGCTTGCTTTAATATTTTGAAAAGGCAAAACCCTCAAATCCATCCTTAAAAAATATCGGTAAGGACACATCCACTCCTCAAAAAAAAGCAGGGACAAATTGCCCCTCCAAATCATAAATCAATACAAATCACTCCTTTTTCAACGAAAAACGTTAGAATTTTGTTTGCCACGTCAGCATTTTTTAACGAAAAACGTTGAAAAATGGATGATTTGTATTGATTTATGATTTGGAGAAGTAATTTGTCCCTGCTTTTTTTTGAGGGGTGGATGTGTCCCTACCAATATTTTTTAAGGGTGAATTTGAGTGTTCTGCCTTTTGAAAATACTCACTTTAGATTACAATACCTTTGTGTGATTCTATGATTTTTGACATTTTGTTGTATGGAAATATGTATAGTAATTTATCCAACAATAATCTTACTGGAAGCATTCCTACCAACTTTTATGGTCTGCCTCTTCTCCAGGAACTGTAAGCATTCTCCAGTTGGTCTCCACCAATTTGTTTCTTGCCTTTGTGAACACTAGAAATTAAGTTAGTAGCCTATGGCACTGCCAATATATTTAACTTGATTAAATGTATTTAAAAAGTTGGTTATTCTTCTTTGTAGGCTACTTGCAAATAATTCATTGAATGGCTCAATTTCATCTTCCCTTTGGCAAAACAGGGCTCCAAATACAATAAAGAGTAATCTTACAATGTAAGTCTTGAAAAAATGATTTCCTTTGTTTAGAATCTGAACCCTACATCACAGTCATAGACTTGATTTGCCAAGTGAAAAGGTTGATCCAAATTTAGGAGAGTAATTTGTTCTCACTTAAGATCAACAGTGTAATCATTTGTGATGTTCAATGACTGTTTTTGCTAATAATCAATGCTCTGGGGTGCTTTACATTAACTATACAGGGATTTGGAGAACAATTTGCTGGTCAATATTTTTGGTAGTGCTGACCTCCCTCCAAATGTCACTCTCTGGTTTGCTCTTGCAGCCCTTTCTTTTGATTTTACTTTACTTAAGTAGTTGTTGATGTGTTTAATTTAACTTTGCTTTTATATCCTATTAATTCACCTGCAATATAATATAATGTACACTTACACCTTCAATAGGCCTGTTGGTTTTATACTTTTTTTTGTGTGTGTATATATATATATATATGTAAAGAAAAGAAAGGTTTGCAATCTAAAGTGAAGTTGAATATCTTCTTGTCTTTCAGGCTTAAAGGGAATCCTATATGCTCGAATCGAAGTTTAGTTCAGTTCTGTAAATCTAAAACTGAGAATGAAACTAGAATAAGCAGTGCAACAAACTCCACCACCGCTGAATGTAAACCGCAATCATGCCCTTATGAGTATTCCCCAACATCTCCTTTGGATTGTTTTTGTGCCGAGCCTTTGCTAGTAGGATATCGATTGAAAAGCCCTGGCTTTTCAGATTTTATTCCATATAAGAAAATGTTTGAGGCGTACTTGACTCAAGGTCTCAATTTGTTTGTTTATCAACTCTATATCTATTCACTTGCATGGCAAGAAGGACCACGACTAGGAATGTACTTAAAGCTCTATCCTGTTTATGATAACACTACCAACAGTCATTTATTCAATCTAAGTGAGGTTCAACGAATCAAGAGCATATTCACTAGATGGAAGATCCCTCTTAATGGCACATTTGGACCTGTAGAACTTATAAACTTCACTTTGTCGGATGTCTATAAGAATGGTTTGCTCCACAACTTCATCTCCTGCCCAAGAATATTTATCCATAACTTTTATTTTTTTTTATAAAAAAAAATTCTTATATTATCATATAATGTTGCAGAATTCAACCCCTCTTTATCAACAAGCATAAGTAAAGGTGCATTGGCTGGCATTATACTAGGGACCTTTGTTGGTGCAGTTACATTATCTGCAATCATTTCACTTATTATATTTAGAAGGCATCTGAAGGGCTACCATACAGTTTCAAAACGATGGAAAGGTGAGTATCTTAAGATCTCTTGTGATAGGGTGTGCAAGTTGATTATATATATTGGGTTAAATATCTTTTTTGGTCCTTTTACTATAAAAAAAACCTCTTTTTAGTAATTATACTGAAAAAAAAATCTCTTTTTTAATGCTTAAAGTTTGAAATTTATTTTTTTTCTTTATTTAAATTATGCGAAAAAATCTGTTTAGTAAAAGTTGATGACATAATAAAAATTTTTATCTAATATAATCTTAAAAATCATTTAATTATATAATTATTATTATAAATATTTTAAAAGTTATTTTGTGATTAAAAGGACTTGACTTTAATTACTTATTTACTCCTATCTTCTTCTAAGTTCATCGCAAACCCAAGAGCTGGGTTCATCGGCGAACCCAGTGCAGACGAACCCAGATTTTGGTACCAATTCGTCGTCGAAAGGTTATTTGTTTTTATCTTAGAATCAGCACTGATTTTGTTTAGCTTCTGGGTTCCAGATTTGATTTGGCAAAGGTAAAAAAAATAAAAAAATAAAAAAATAAATAAAAATATAGGGGTAAATAGGTAATTAAAGTAAAGTACTTTTAATCACAAAATAACCTTTGAAATATTTATAATGATAATTATGTAATTAAATAATTTTTAAGATTATACTAGATAAAAAATTTATTCATGTCATCAACTTGTATCAGATGGTTCTTTTCATGTAATTTAAGTAAAGAAAAAAATAAGTTTTTCATTAATTAACATATTACATCACTTAAAATTTAATAGAGGGACTAAAAAAATATTAAATTTCAAACTTTAGGGGTTAAAAAAGGATTTTTTCAATATAAGGACTAAAAAAAGCTTTTTTCCATGGTAGAGGAACCAAAAGGATATTTAGCCTATATATTATAATGCGTGTATGTATCATACTACTGTCCAAATTGATTGTTTATCAAAAATAATTTTCTTTTCAAATATTACATATGGTATTATTTTTCCAAACAGATAAATCCTAATGCTCTTATGATTTTTGTTCATTAATCACAAGGACACTTTACTAGTTTCATTTTCATTAATCTTACAAAACAATGAATGAAATTGCATTTTATTTAGCTGGTTGTTATTTAAATGCTGAGGTAGAAGTCATGTTTTTGTGGCCTCTATTTAGTTATTCATCTTTCTTTAGATTCATTTTAGATTTGAGTCGCTGCAGAAGACTTCCTTTTATCCAAATATATCTTATTCATCTCTTAGACATTTTTCAAGAAACGAAAAAAAAAAAGAAAAAAAAAAAGAAAATGGCACATTCTTTTAATAGCAATTAGTTTTGTTCAAATATTTAGAGATCCATTTTCTTGTATAGCATCTAGAGCCTTGTTAAAAATTGATGGTGTCAAGAGTTTCACATATGGAGAGCTGGCTTCGGCAACAAACAATTTTGATATCTTCACTCAAATTGGCCGAGGTGGATATGGAAAGGTTTATAAAGGCACTCTGGCCGATGGCATGATTGTGGCCATAAAGCGTGCACAACAAGGGTCATTACAAGGTGAAAAGGAGTTCCTAACTGAAATACAGTTGTTGTCAAGGTTACATCATCGAAACCTTGTTTCCTTGGTTGGTTATTGTGATGAAGAAAGTGAACAGGTAATTTATCTCATGTCTTTTAAAAATTTTAATTGATATGGTACTATATTTTTTCCCTACCCATAAATGGTTTGAGAATTAAATGTATGGAAGGATAAAAGATGTAGTTTCAATGTTTTATTAGCCTAACTATGATAAAATATTAGACTATGATAAAATATTAGAGAGATGAACCCTCACTGAGGAAGCAATTTGACTAACCAACTTAGTATGTGGATAGAATGTCATGCCTACTGTCATTTGTTAATTGAAATTTATTATCACATCCAACCATTGCTGTCAACAGATGTTGGTATATGAATATATGTCTAATGGCACTCTACAAGATCATCTTTCAGGTAAACCTTTGAATTCAAGAAATGCAAAATGACAATCTTTAATTCTATATGCAAATATTGTGGTTCTTAATATGACATTTTATGTGTATGGTACCGCTAGCAGGAAAGATTAAAAAACCTCTGAGTTTTGTAAGGAGGTTGAGAATAGCTCTTGGTTCATCCAAGGGAATCCTCTACCTACACACAGAAGCTAATCCTCCTATATTTCATCGGGATATCAAGGCCAGCAACATATTATTGGATTCTAAATTTGTCGCAAAGGTTGCTGATTTTGGACTTTCACGACTTGCTCCGATGCCAGATATTGAAGGTGCAACGCCTGCTTATGTGTCTACTGTTGTAAAGGGGACTCCAGTAAGTGTTTTACTTGAATGAAATTAAATTAGAAGCTTCTTTATATTTATGTTTTTAGGATTTGTTTAACTTGTATCCTTAAGGTACAAATTAAGAGTGTAATTATTACACTCTTTTTACATTAATTATTATTAAAAAAATACAAAAGCTATCATTGATTTCATCATTAATGTCATGTGGATCATTTTAATTAAACAATTACTTAAATAAAGATTAAATTTTATTTTCTCAATAGTAATTAATGAGAAAAAAATGTAATAATTACAACCTTACAGTTAGAAAAATCCATTTTTTTAATATCTGCAATAAAAGAGATGGAATTCAAGTACTATATTTACTAATAGATGACAATCAACATTGGTTCATGACTATATATTGCTAGTATGGTATCTCATTATTTGAATATTTTGTACCTAAAATGTAGGGTTACCTTGATCCAGAGTATTTCCTGACGTATAAGTTAACAGACAAGAGTGATGTATATAGCCTTGGTGTTGTGTTTTTAGAGCTTTTAACAGGGATGCAACCAATTTCACATGGCAAAAACCTTGTTCGAGAGGTAATATATAGCTTTCTTTCTCCATTTTTGCTTGAAATTAATTGTCTTTCGTCACTTTTAGACCAATTGAACATTTTTACTCTCTCTCTCTCTCTCTCTCTCTCACACACACACACATTAGGTTAACATTGCGTATCAATCTGGTACAATATGGTTGGTTATTGATGGAAGAATGGGTTCATATCCTTCTGAATGTGTGGAGAGGTTTGTGAATTTGGCCATGAAATGTTGCCAAGACGAGACAGATTCAAGACCTTCCATGGTAGAGGTGGTCCGAACTTTGGAAACTATAGGGCTAATGATTCCAAGGTACTCTGACCCCTCACTAGTAGAATCCATGGAAGTTGACCCAGAAATGACATCTACTACGCCACCTTCATCATCCTCTATGGTGAAGAATCTGTACACATCCTCATATGTTTTTGGTAGTGACCCTGTTAGTGGAGTGATTTCCACTATCACGCCTAGATAAGATGAGACCATACGACACAAACTGCTCTCGCTCTAATAAGTCTCTGACTCTGATTGTTGTTATATACTTATATTGGTTCTCTCATTTCTGCTACTATAGAGTTAGTTTTTTACACCATCAGGCTACATCATTTATCATTTGCATAAAATATAAAAATGCCTTTTGTATTTGATTAGGAAATTTAATTTGGAAGCGTTCATATGTAGCTATAGTTTTTAGTTTTTT